CACCAAGAAGGTTTGTCAGAGAGAGCAGGGAAGTAGATTGTTTCTCACCAGGATGGGCTTAACAGTTGCATCCTCTTCAAAAACATGGGAGGTCTGAGTAAAGAAAGAACTTACTCAGACATTGAAAGGCTTAAAGAAAGAGGTTAGTCATTTAAAGCACGTCCCATGTCAGCACAGCTCCAGCTGCCTAAACCAGCTGGCTTAAGGATCTTGTTACATCTCTGAGTGTACTCCCCTCTTAGTGTAAGCATTAAAGTCTGACCCTTCACGACAAGTTGCCTTGACCCCATCACTCTTGCTAAGGTTTGCAGTCCTTGTACCAAAGGATGCTTCCTCTCAGGCAAAAGATATTCCTGCGCCTTAGAAAAACAGAAAGCCAGTCAACTAAACTCCCAGTGCTGTGGAAAGCCATCTGCCAAGCGCAGGACTACTGTTACGACAACTTAGGTCTGGTCCAGCTTTCAGGTCTTCTTTAATGTAAAGACTGGTTTTGGACAGCAGGTGGCAAATTCCAATCTAAGATGCCTTACAAGAGCTTGTAATGTACTTGTGGATTGTGTCTATTCTACCTTGTTCCCCCTGCAGGGCTTGGGAGACTTTTTGCTACATATCCCAGGAAGATTGGGGCAGACCTTCAACATCTTTGTCACTGCTAGAGCTCTACAACAAATGCCAGTCTGAGGGAAACATTACGCTGCCCGATTCAAACACACCCTCTCCGGAACGTGATGCTTTCAGCCTCACCAGTTACAATGCCACTGCTGTAGTAACAACAACAGATGCTGCTCAACTAACCCAAGACGCTTATATCAGCTCCCTAATTCAGATGAATGTAATGAGCACAACGGCAGCCAACCCAACTGAGCTGATGCTCACAAAGGCCAACAGTTCCTCCCACAAGGAGGAGGCAGTTTCCAAATCCACGAGCACCCATGAGAAGGAGGCAGTTACTGAATCCATGAGCACCCACGAGGAGGCAGTTTCCAGATCCATGAGCACCCACAAGGAGGAGGAATCCATCAGCACCCAAAAGGAGGAGCCAGTTTCTGAACCCATGAGCAATTCTCCTTCCTTGGTGTCTGTAACCACCTCCCTGGGTTCTCTCAAACTGTTCTATGATCACTCCTCAGATCATGGCTCCACGATTCAAACTGAAACAGACCAGCTAAAGACAGAGCTCAGAACAACCACGTCAGCGTTTCCCCAGGAAGGCACATCCAACCAGCCCACTACTGATTATTCTACTACAGCAATGGGAAGCCCCAATGCCACTGATCTTAACTCCTTCGCCCTTTATGTTGAGGGAGGTACAGCACAAACAAGCCTCCCTCAGCTCAACTCCACAAGGACCACTACTCGCTCACAGCCTGCATCCACCAAAAGTACAGCACAAACAAGCCTCCTACAGCTGAACTCCACAAGGACCACTACTCGCTCACAGCCTGCATCCACCAGATCACTGATACACTATGTAGATGACTATGACTACGACGAACAGTCAACGCAAACCCCAGTGCAAGTGCCATACACCTCCTGTGACTACAATCCTTGCAGGCACCTTCAGAAGCCATGCAGTGAACTCCAGAGAGAATCCAGATGTTTATGCCCTGGCATGTCGAGGGAGGATGAGGTTCCTGATGCACCGAGGCTCAGAGAGGTGTCTGAAGTCACGGACAGCTCTGCACAGATACGCTGGTGTGCCCCAAATTCAGTTGTTCACACCTATGAGCTGATGTTTCATGCCCAAGGCAACGAGGACAGACAACTCGTTCTGGACAATATTTATTCCACAGCAAGGCAGCACACTCTGTATAATCTACTACCATACACCACTTACCACATTTGTGTGACTGCTTCCAACAAAGCAGGGTCAAGCCAGACATCAGTGCAGGGAATTCCAGATAATTCATGCACTAGATTTAAAACAAAGCCCAGCTACAAGTCTGTCTTTGCTGCTCTGTCTGCAGCAAGTGGACTCTTTCTCATTTCCACAATTATTTTGTCTATATGCCTGTGTAAGGCATGCAAAAAGCCTCAGAGTGAGCAGTATGGTACACACTTAGTCTCTTATAAGAACCCAGCATTTGATTATCCTTTAAAACTACAAACCAGTAATTAGCTCTGGGTCACTGTTCTGCACATTCCAAGCTCATCGTCTCTTATCACCTTGGTATGTTTGCCTGAGACTCTCCAAACGTCCTTCAGCAAAACTATGAAACATCAGACTTCATAGCCCTTATGTTTCTAAGGGACAGAAAAACACACAAAAACTAATAATGACGGTAGTCAAACAGAAGAAAGTCTTTGGACTCTTGGCCACGTGCTAAGCAGCAGCAAACCTGGACACTCACCTTGAAGAGCTGTATGATCACTTACAAATTCATCAGCATGCATTTCACACAGTCAGAGGCTGCTTTGCCAGCTGTCTGCCTTCAGTCTCCCTCATGGATACAGTGCTGAGAGCCATGACCAAGGTGCATCTAGCTAAGATAGACTCTGCTTTTATACTTATAAATGAAGTTGGGCTTTCAGTTTCTTCTAATGTCCATATAAAGGTATTGCCCAAAAAGAGAGCATTACTGGAAGGACTGAGAGAAGGATCTCCCTGAGCTGAGTGGCAAGGTGCTGTGCAAGTCTAACTCCACTAAATAACTCCAGCAACTGCTCAGTGCAGCTTCACTTCAGGAGAGAGAAGCATGAAGATTAATTGTATAAAAGGACAGTTCAGGATCCTTAGGACCAGGATAATTGCTTTGTTCTGACTTTGTATGATGTTTTCCACAACTGAGGCTCCCGAGTGCTACCACAACACCAGCTTACAGGCAGCGAGGAGTTTTCAGTACAGCAGTAACCCACAGAAGGGAGAGGCCATGTTAGCATTTGATTCAGAATTGATTGTAAGCAGGGATGATTGCTCAGTCCTATCTACAGATTTAGCAGGCTGACGATTTACCTCCTACAGAGGCAAAGAGCCAAGTAATGAAACAATTTGATGTGCATGTTGCTGAGACTAAAAACCTGAAATCCCATCCACTCACAGCAGTTACACAGACATTTTTCAGATGTACTTTTGGGTCCTAACTTCTGCTACAGAAATCATAAGAGATGCTGAGAATCCCAGTTCTTCAGCAGCTTTGAGCTTGCCATTAACATTCAAAGGTGTTTGTGTAAGGGGAGGTGTTTGCCCCATCAAATACTTCCTATTCAGAGACCAAAAGGTTTATGTTTCAGTGGCTGTGTGTTTCTGCTGCTGTACACTGCTGTATAGAGACAAGATATAAACTCCCCCAGAGATTTCAGAGTGCAGAAGGTACAGTGTAAAAGAGTCTCTGTTCTGTTTATTTGGGGTTTTTTAATGCTTCCAGTATTGATGGAAATAAAAGCTACAGAGTTGAGCTCTGGTTCTTTGTTAAAGACTTAGATCTTTGTGTTGTTTTACCATCTACAATGTTTAACCTGAGAAATTAACTCAAACATTTTCTGGTTTGGAACAGACTTTGAGCATAAAGTAATGCTTTAATTATGGTAAATTCATGTTATTTGATATCCCAAGAGCTTTCATTTTGTATGTGCGTAAGGTGACCTGTGCCATCCTCACCACTACAGCTCATAGTCCTTTCATGCAGGTTTGTCCCTTACCCTACACCAGTGCTGGGAATGACACCACCACTCATTGCACATTCCTGTGTGTGTCTGTCCCTAGTTGCTGAACTTGGCTGACTCAAACTTACAACAGAGGTAACACACAATGGAGAAGCCAGGATAGCATCATCTTTCACTCTGAAAATCATGTTCACATTCTGGTAGTTCAGACCTTTCTTTGCTTGGTCTTCGTTTCTCATCTTTATGTCTGGTCTGCATTTTCTGGAGAGTCTGTCTAGTGAACAGGCACAGGTGCCAAACTTAACTTGCAGTGAGCAAGGACCACCCCAAATCAGGGCAAAAACCATACACTCCCTTGTGTTTGTACAACATAGGTCTAAGAGACCTTGACTGGGGTCTTTGGTATTATCAGAAACAGAAACAAAGCAGAGCAAAAGAAGAGATTTGTGAATCTGAGTTCGTTTAACTAATGACCAACTTCACTCTGTTGTCTTCTCCTCCCTCTATTTGAATCAGTGCTTCTTTTACTTCACTTTTCCTGTGATTTGTGCTACAATCACTCTTCCCTGAATACATTCTATATGCACTTGGATATAACTTGCAAGTTACAGAAGCTAATGGCTTTATTCTGCCATACTTCAAACATTCCAGCTTGGATAAGAAAGCCTGTATTTACACCCAGAACTTGTGTGTCTGGTAAGTAGTTGCTGCAGCCCAAGAACAGGTAAAATGACAGTCATTCAAATCATTTGAGTAAGTCACAGTATTTTCAAAGCAAGTATTCAAGTAGAAAACCTTTCTCTGACAGCACTGCCTGTTGCTACTTCTTAAAACCAATGTATACTTCTAGAAAAACTGAATCATCACATTTTCCCCTCTGGACTTTTTATTGTAGCTGCTCCTACTGATTTAGAAAGTAAGCCCTAAAAAGTAAGCAATGTTTTAATCAAAAGGGTAAGGTTATCTTGAAGCCTATTTGCTGGCTTCTACATAATCCAAATATAACTGCAGAAGAAAGTTAATGCCACCCCCATTCCCTAACCTCAGAACACAAGTAATAACCAGTTTGGAGGTTTCCTGTATCTTCATTACTGTGGATGGACACAAGCCGGCTACCATAGCGCTGTTTGGGACTGGGGCAGTGAGTAAGCAACCAGGGAGCCAAACGGAAACTTTCCCACCCACTCTTAAAGCCGTGTTTGAAACCGCCCCAGCTTTGCTCCGCCTGGTGCTTCCTCCCCCTTTTCCTGTTCGCACTGAACAGCCAATCCTGTCGTACGTCCAAAGACACAAACCTTTGGCAGCGTGGCTGGGGTACCCAAACTGCTCTGAAATGATTTTAAAAGCTAGCAAAAGCCAACCCATTAAAACCAAAATATAACTAGTAATCTACTCACTGTTTCACGGTTCAACTGGTCCTGTTTCTCCATGAGAAGAGGAAATGCAGAGAGCATTTAAATCTAGTTTTTGAAGAGGTGTGTAATTTTTAACCTGGCTTTTCTTCCCAAGAAGAAATTATCTGCATTCTGAAGAACCTTCTCCATTCACTTGTCAAGGTCTTTCTTCTTTGTACAGAACCAAGTTCAAGCAAAGGAAGTCCAAAATAGCCAATGGGGCATGTGGGTCCCTCTCTCCTGGGTGCCATGGTGGAAGTGCATGCTTGTTCTGTCTCTAAATCAGTCACTGAGTCTCATGGAGTCTCCCAATGGAAACACTCTGGGAAAAGGAGCTGATCCCTGGAAAGGCCTCCATACAGAAAAAAAAAAGGCCAGAACCCACACAAATGACTTGCTGGGTGTGAGGATACAGAGAAGGACCACCTTGTCTTCAATGCAACAAATGCCATTTAGAGAATCAGTTATCAGGAGCCCTGTCCTGGGCAGCAGAAGCGGGTGGGTGCCCAGAGCAGCAGGATGAGGTGCTTCAGCCTGACCCACCTCAGTACCAGGAGGGACCATGCTTTTGAGAGTGGTCCCTGGCCAGAGGCGTGAGGGGCATTGAATGGACCAGCTGGGAGACAATGCAGCCCAAGGCAGGGAGCTCACATCATACCACTGGCTTTATCAGCCTCTTTGTGCAGGGATGCAAAAACCAAACCTCCATGCTCACATAGCAAGCACTGCACAGGCACAGACCTACTCCTTTGCAGTGATCTCCAGAAAAAGGCATTCATGTGGTGTTGGAAACAAGGAAGCCTCTGAGGGTTCAGGGTCTTGCTTGCCAAGTAGCATCGGATTCCCACTTTACCTGTGAAAGACAGAGATATTTATCACAGGTGTGAACACGTTCCGTGTTTGTGGAAACAGATACTCATAAAAGAACGTGTTTAAACTCCTGGTGCTTTTGCTTTTTATCAGCTCTCCAAAGTATGCAGAGTTTGTTCCGAAGCAGGGCAATATACTACAACAGTAATTCCAACCTCTTTAAAAAGTAGTCAAGCAGGGCAACAAATAATATTATCGTGAAATATGTTCAGAGAACAATCCCCTACAAGGAGAGGCTGGTGTTCTGCTGTCACCTAGAGGGAGAAGGAGGAATCATCTCCTCAGGTGCATCACACTCGGCTTTTCCCCCAAAGAACTTAAGCCTGCACCCTACAGACCAAAGCTCACTTACAGTACCCATGTGCTCGCCTCTGTTCGTCCGTGTATCCTCACCTACTAACCTCTGAATGGAAACAAAACAGAAGTTCTAACGGTAGCAACAGTTCCAGTCCCTTAGATTGTAACTCAGCAGCTTATCTGTCCCTGTCTCTTAATTCTTTTTTGTAGCCTTATAACCAGGAATTTCTCTGCCAACTTGTCACTGCTATAGAAAAATGTGCATTTCTTCTTAAGAGCAAGGAGAGGATTACTGTCTGGGAAAACCAGACCTGGTAAATCACTCTACAAGTGCAATAAGGTTTTAAATATGTGGATTTTGGAAGCAAAGATCAGACCACATTCACTGCACTTACAGGAAAGAAAAAAAAAAGCAAGGATTTGTTGGGGGTTTGATTCAGCATGGATAAAGATCAGTAACAGGTAAGTATGTTTATACTACCTGATATCTTGAATTCATTTTGCACATATCACTGTGTAGTATTACATAGTATTATTATTATTGTAATTCAGTGGGGATCTTCTAAGCAACTCTTGTCTGCTTCTGATGATTCAACTGATGCTCATGGATTTTGTAGCTCAAGGGCACAGTGGCAACTTGTACAACCTTGGGCAGACAAATGGACCATGCTCTGTGCCATTCCTCAGTACCTAGGCAGTATCGCTACCCAGATGTAGCATCTCTATGGCATCTGATTACTGGGTACATGAGCAGATCAGTGCTCTGGACCCATGGATACATATAATTGATCTGCCTGTATGCAAAAGGTAGGGTTTTGCACGCCCCTACCTAACTATAGCGCCTCTGAAGAGTCAGGGGCTTCTAAGAAAGCATGAAATAAACAATCTCCTTTTACTGCTAGAGTTGACCACCTCTCATTTCAAGCTGACATTTCCCATGCCACAACACATTTTTTAGGGTATTTTGACAGTGTAGGTACCTTTAAAGTACAGTTCTTCAAACAGAAAAGGTCTGAATTCATAGGAATCCCTTATAAGAAACCCTTCACAGGATTTACCCTACTGTCTTAGCAGAACACAACCACTGTAAAGAGAGTATTTTTATTCACTTCCAAACCACAGTGCAGCACTGTTTTTTTTTTGTGCTGCTACTTAATCCTCACACTTCAGCGCTGAATGACATTACCCACAAGTAGATGTAAGAAGTTAATACTTGTATGGCACTCTGTCTTTCCTGACATATTGCTACAGTGTACGTCTTCATTTTTGCTAGATCCTTTGTTGAAAGGTGAGCAGCCTTTTCCACTGTTTAGCATGGCTCTAAGATCATAGACATACATTTTTAAGAAACATAAGGGAGAAAAAAACCCTCAGAAAATACCAACAAGAAATGGAGGGAGTGTGAGAAAAGGGACAAAAACCTCCCTATCTTTACTATTCCTAGACCATTGGTACACCCAAAGTAGGAGAGAACCAAAGAAAAATCAAAAGAAATCAAGCAAAAGAATCCCAAGAAAAACTACAAAGCCCAGGATCGTTCACTGTCTCGTCCAGAAGGTGGAAGCAGCGATGCAGCTATCTCTGCCATGCAGGCGGGCACAGGCTAGCAGCTCCTGCTGAGCTCTAAGCACAGCTCAGACGTCAAGAGCGATAAATTCCGGGATGAAACTCCAGATAGAAGAGAAAAATAAAAACAATCACGCACTCAGCACTAGGTAGAGGCTTTCTTCTCCTCTGAAAAACTAACATTTACTTGCTGTGCAGCATGTTCTGTGCTGGGAAGGCACAAATATTGCGTTTATTAAATGCTTAGAGGCTACTTGCTGTTATCAGAGCATGATTAAGTAATGGTACTTAATAACTGAGATAAGGCCATTAGGTGAAATGATGTCACCCTCTCTTTGGCAATCAGTCCTCATGCTGTCATCACTGCTGCCTTGAGAACACTGGGCAGGGTATCTCCAGGAAAAAAGAGGAAGACACATGAGACTAATGCTCGTGTCCAACCTGACATAAGTGCAGTAAGTAGTAAAGATACACATCCGAGGCATTTTCATAGATGCAAATATTCCCAGAAGCCCCATTCTGTCCTGATTACGTGTTTAGGTGTCTACTGATGATATTTGTGCTGTGAAGGTTGTTCAAGTTGCTGATATTGCATCAGAACTGGCAAGGATCACTTGGTATTAGGACACCATTTGACAAGATGCCGCACAAACTGCAGGCAAAAAGATGTTATCATCTGACTGCTCCAAACTGGAAAGAGCTGGGGAAGGAAAATCAAGAGACAGAGAGGTGACATGATCCACCCAGAATCACAAGCACTGTGCACCGCAGTGACTGTCAAAAAGGTTCCATGCTGACAGTGGTTCATTGCTTCTGCCTAAGTAAAATAGACCTTTGAAAGCCACAGCAGCACTGTGCTATTGACAAACATCCCAGAAGGATTCAACTCTGTCCTCACTGTGCCTTTAACTCAATATCCCCCGTCTCGGTGCAGCTGCCTACTCACACAAAGGCAGAAAACACAGAGCTTTTACCACATTGAGTCAGAACTGGCTGTAGGTCCAAGTCCTATTTGGAGGACAGATACTAAACATACAAATCTCATTTTTTCAAGACACTAAGCTAAAAAAAGCCCCATTACAACTCCAGCATCACGTGTGTGGGTGTTTTCTGTACGGTTTGTTATTGTTTCACTGCTCCTTGGGAATGCTGGAAAAGGTCACAACACCCAGAAATGATGGTAAGAGGGTAAGAAAAACAATATAATGCGTAGGCAATTCCAAGTCTAAACTCAGCTTTGAAACAAATGTGGAAGTGCTGATTCTGAACATGACTTAACAACATGTTTGCTCCTTTGGGTCTGCTGTCTGAAACCTCAACCTTCAACACGAAGCTGAACTTCAACAGCAAGTCTGACTGATGTTAAGGCATCTCAGGTAACTCCCATAAGCAGCACCAAATTACAAATACCTAAGAAATGTTTCTCCACAACCCCCTGCCTGGATCAGTGTGAACAACTGACACACAGGTCAATGGGACATTGCAGGAATAAGCTTAACCATAAGGCTGCCACTAAATACACAGTAGTAAAAAGAAATAAATAATCTCTATTTCACATGGAATGAGGCAGTCAAAGTCCTAAATAAAACTCGGTTTGACAGCCTTACCTATCTGCTCAGCTCAATTACAGACAGCAGACACAAAATGAGTAATAAAACATAATGCCTGCTCTGGGTCAGCTGCCACCCAGTGACACCTTCAAACCTGCAATGACCCAAAATCAAACCAAACTCTAACCAGGGAGGAAGATGACAGTGGATGAGAACAACCTTTATATCAGCCGGATGACTCCTTTTAAATCCAGTGCAAACCTGATTGCATGAACGCCTACAGAAGCCTCAACCCCAACTCTGCCCTGATCCCAGCTGTACAAAGGCAACCCTGACACACCAAAAGTATTAGTAAGAAGGTAGCCACTAACCACAGCAGTCCTAAAGTTAGCTCAGCAGCTTGTTCCATACCAAGTAAAAACCCAGGCTCTCCACCCAGCAATGGAACAGACTCCAAATGATTCTTAACACTAATGAGGCTGGGTTTTGCCAAACAGAGCTACATGCAACAAGGTCACTGTCACAGCATTAGATCAAACTTCCATTTCCTCCAAAAATCCTGAAAAACAGCCTTCCAAAACCCAAAGGGGGCCTACAAGAAATCTGGAGAGGATGTGTTTCTGATGATTTTGAAGCTGATATAAAGCCATGTCAAGGTAGTAAACCTTTCCCCTGTCTATGACCTGGATGTATCCCTACCTTTATGTGTAAAACTGCTTTCTTCTCTGCCTGTTAAAAAATGAATATAAAAAGGCAATGACCATTCACTTCCAAAACCTTATCTCTATAAAGTCTCTGACAAAGAGCAGTTATCTAACATTCAATGATGCATAAATCATTGATAGGCTGAGAAAGTTGGGGCTGTTCAGCCTGGAGAAGAGAAGGCTGCGTGGAGACCTCAGAGCAGCCTTCCAGTATCTGAAGGGGGCTACAAGGATGCTGGACAGGGACTCTTCATCAGGGACTGTAGTGACAGGACAAGGGGTGATGGGTTAAAACTTAAACAGGGGAAGTTTAGACTGGATATAAGGAAGAAGTTCTTTACTGTGAGGGTGGTGAGGCACTGGAATGGGTTGCC